CCGCACCCCACCGCACGGCGCGCACACGCTGCCACGGCAGCGCGGAGGGCTCCTGCCAGGCTTTGCTGCACGGGACTCGCCCGTAGAGCCGGGTCCTGAGCCATCCTTTGGCCGAGTGCGACACAGGCACTTTCTCACTTACTCCAAAATGTTGCCCCAAAGTGTTTCAGAGTAACCCGAGGATCTCGCGGCTGCTGGGTGCTGCTGTCCTGCACTCCCCGTATGGCAACCACAGCAGTTTCTATTTTAAGAAGAAAAGAGTGATTAAAGTGTTTGCCTAGGCAGGTATTTCAGTCTGCTGTGATTCCCGTGTGACTCGTGGCAAGTCACACAGAGCCCCGTGCTTCGCTTCCCTACCAGCAACATAAGGAAAATAGTATTTTCAGGGACAGTGACGCTTTCCTACCCCACAGGCATACTGTGAGAACCAAGGTGAAAAACGCTCTGAGGTGCACAGACATTACAGCGAGTATTACACATAGGTTATAATGGAAGATGGAGAACTGAACGCTACAGTTACGATTATCCTTCAAAACAGGATCAGTGGAGAACCCGCAGGCAGCCTGCTGAAGTGGGGAAGGGATGCCACAGTACAAACAGCAAGGAGTGAACTTTGCCTTGCTAGAAGTGTTTCTTCAGCATGTCCCATGTATGTTTGTTTTTTTTTTTTTCACAAGCTTTTACACGTCTGATGTCAGTGACTTGAAAAAAACAATAAAGAAGTACCCCACATTTGTACGGAAAAGCTGCCTTACGTATCAAGTGAACTGTTGCTTTTGGCAATCAGGAATACCGTTTACAACTGGGAAAAATATTTACCTCATCCATGTATATTCGACAAGTATATTTGAAATATTCAGTAAATTAAATCAATGAACCAAAATTTACTGGGTTAATATAGCATTATTTAAATTGCTATAGCAGTATCAAGCAGGAGACAACATCATTTAAAACAAACAAACAAAAAAAGCACCTGAGGCCAGTATTTCAACTGGTATCTCAGTTGATCCCAGTTTACTGTCATTAAAATTGGAGCTATGGGAAATTATACTCCTCTGAATCAGAACATCTTAATTTTTCTTTTATATTTACTAGTCTAAATTGGTATTGCACTCATAGAGAGGGAATTTGTCATTAGGTCTTGACACTTATCTGATATTGTTCGCCACAAATACCTCCAAACTGCAGAAAAGTTTTGTGCAACTGCTCAACAAGATCTTAACACATCCCTTCTGGATGTTGGATCTGATCAAGAAATCGGATAATTGATGATGAGATATTTCACTGTGTACCGAGTCATATGCTTAAGTTAGCAATAACAAATGAATGAGAAGTCCATCTGTGTAACTTTTGTTTCATGTGCACGATTTTTCCAGGCATTTGCATTTAGCTGCATGTCTAATGGTTGTCTGGCAGAAAAAGTAAAAGCTTCAAGCAATCTCATGCTTACTCTGCTGCAAACATTTTTTTCCATCGATGATAAATGGATACTGAAGGCCTTAAGATTAAAACAGTTGAGCATTTTTTTTGTTTGGCTGTTTTTTATAAAGTGTATTTTCATACTGCTAGATGTACAGACTTTAATATTTGTTCTTTTTCTAGGTAGCATCCAGTGCTTTACTGCTGTGATATGCATAGCTCTTCTTAAATCAATGGGATATTCCTGGGTTTATAGTTAAATTGTGTTTAAACACTTCATGGCATCAAGATCATTAAGATGTGCTATGGCCCAGAGGACTCAGTGAGCTCAGGTGCCCTGAGAGCTGTGTGCCTGGCTGCTATGTAACCTCATGGTACAGCCAGGAGGGACATCCCGCAGAGTGGTGCCATTGTTTGAAAAAAACAACTGGGAAACCACAAACGTGAGGAACAGACTGCAGGACTGGACTTTCAGTGTCTGCGCAGGACTTTGAATGCAGAACTCATCATAATGATACCCAGCTCTTATACCGTGCTTTTTACTTACAGGCATGTAAGAATTTAGACAAGGAGGTAGGTATCATTATCTCTGTCTTCCATATAGGGAAACTGAGTCATTAGACATGGAAATAACTTGTCCCAAGTCATCAGGATCAGATATTGAGCAAGGAATTAAAATCAGACCTTCTGAATTCCAGTCTAGTGTCATTGCTGCTCAGCAACCCAGCTTCTCTTAAACTATTTTTTTTCTAATTTCTAGTTTCTGAAGCACAATGCTATAAATAGAACACACATACTGTGACAATGTTTGCTCTCTGCTTTTAGGCAGCGCTTTCATACGTTTCTAAAGCACAAACATGCTTTGTGTTTTATGATCTCAGAGTCCTATCTCTTCTTTACAATCAATATTTCACTATTTTGTTTCAAGAACTCTATTTTTCTCTTTCTGTTTGTAGAGCATATTGTGCTAGATTTCATCAGCAATTACAAAATTATTTTCATACCTCAGCCTTTAGTTTTCAGTGAGCATTTTAAGTTCCCAAGGAATTTAGGCTCAGGCCATACTCATTCTCTTTGTAGTTAAAAAGGTTTATTTGCTTTATATAGGCTGGAATAGTTGGATTTGATAGAGGCTACCATCTTTCTCATTAATTTAATTTCTGTCAGCAGACAAAGCTACTGAGCCAGGTACTGGTCTCACAGTAAGATATCTAAAATGTCTTTCTGAAGCTATTTAACAGACCTACCCTGCTGCAACGTCTGTCACAGTCTGGCTGGCTATGTCTAAAAATTAAAACCAGAATCTGTATTCTTACCATGGAAGAATTTACTTAGAACATAAAGTGACAAATTAATAAAAGACTCAGTTTTGCTAAACTATGCTGATGTCTAACACATTTTATTTGAGTTTCTGACTGCCAATGCTTTTCCCTGAAAAACACTTTACCCCTAAGAAATCTGGTGTCATGAAATATTTTTATTTCATTCTCTAGCCAATACTTTCTTAAGTTTTATGATAATCTGGTAGATTTTACTTTTTTTATTTACTGACTGATGATGTCTGAGACTAGTAGACAGATAGGGGCCAAGAAGTTTGTTTGCCTCTATCCTGCCAAACCAGTTCTTCAGGTCAACAGCAGATTTCAGTTTCAAGGCTGCCAACCTTGCCCTTTTCAAAAGTATTAACAAAGCTTTTTTAGCATTTTTTTCTTTTGTTCTTTTCTATTGATTTTTACTTGCATTTATTCCATAAGCAATATTTGAACTCCAAGATCAGAGCTGCCAGCATAATCTTAAATTTTATTTAAATGTTCACTTGAAGCAGAAGCATTAAGTCATTTCAGTGTGAGATATAAACTATTAAATAATTCAATGTGTACTTTTTCAACAGACATAAATTACTGACCAGAAAATGGCCCAGCGAAGCCAAATCTTCCCAACTCTTGCCGCTTCTGAAAGGTACAGTCTGGAATATAAAAAATAAAATTTTCATATTGCAGAGTATTATGTGTCTCTCAGTTCCCTATATATAGTAATGCTGTGACATGGGACTCTGGCATTAGTATGTGAAGCAAAGTGAAATACTGTAGACTCATTCAAATAATAGTCCAAATCACAATTCCTTACTCAACTTTTACTTTACCCTTTCCCAAAAAATTTAAATAGCTTAAACTTAACTGAGTAGAAGCCCAAGAATACTATACTTTAGCCAATCTCCTAGCATGGAGTAAGTGCAAAAACTCTGAACCAGAACTGACCTTTGTTGGAGTCCTTGTACATCTCTATCAGTATTATTATGATGAATGTAAACTGTTAGTTTGGCTCATTAACAGGAAGCAACCCGGAGAATACACAGTAAATAACAGAGTTCCAAGAAAAAAGATCTCTTTCAAAGTGGGGTTGAACTTGTGTCTTTCACTTATGCTTCTGAAAATATTCTTTATTCTTTACAGAATATAGTGGCAGGAAAAGATTGCGTGCATTAGCAGCCTAATTTTTTTAGTTTGAGCATCCATGAGGTCCATTGTTTTCCATGGAAGCTATGCAGTGCAGAGCTCTCTTGGAACATCTAGACAGTTATTCAAGGTACAGAATATAAAGTATTTTGGGGGAAAATCTGACTTCCAAGAGTATGGGAAGTTTGTCATAATTTTGGTCTCTCCTCAGTTTCTACACCTGCATATGCTCCTGTCCAGTTCATGGGGGAGCAAGCTTCTGTATGCTGTTACAGGATAGCTATAGATACTGAAAATAAGCATGGACACAAGCTACTCCTTTTCAATCTCAGTTTGTTTCCATTTAATTTGCAATATCTACCTTCCACAGCTACTGCTTTTATTAAGTCTGAAAACTGTAGAGACAAATAGAATTACTTCAGAAACTCAGGAAAAGGGTTTTAAATTTGTATTCTTAATCAAATCATAGTTCTGAACTGTAACTGCTTTTATGATGCTAATGTCCTTTTCTTAAGATCCTACGCTTTTGTAAGCTTCCTTAAAGAATAGGAGAAAGCCTGACCTGACCTGATACAGGCAGTAGCCAACGCAGCACCCACTTATGTGTAGCAGTGGGCTCTCTCTCCGAGTATTTTGGTGCTTCTCCCCAGTATCGCTACTAAGATACTCTCATACTGTCTCCAGTGGAAAGGCACGTCAGAGTTTTGTGTGAGAACTTAACAATATCTGGGTATTCTTCTTCACTAGACGGGTTCGAAACATCCCACTGCACAGCCAGGCGCTGACAGCGGTCCCGCTGGCATCTGCAAGCCTGGTGGATCAGCTGGAAGACAGAATCTTAAGCCATGAGAAAACAACAGCGGCTCTTGTGGAACATGCTTTTCGCATTAAGGAGGACATTGTTTCCACTCTGCACAGAATGCAGAACAAAGGGGGGGGTGACCGGTTGGCTAGGCAACTCTTGGAAGAACACATCCGAAACATAACAGCAATAGTGAGGCAGCTTAATCGGGACATTGAGGTATGTTAAGAATTTTTCACAGGACTAATGCCATTGCAGCTACTTATTCCTTCTAATTTAGTAAGAAAGTTTACCACAGGATAAGTAAAGGTCAGACAAGGTCTGAAGATTCTGTCTAAATTGTTTTTATAACTTGAAAAACTGTTTGCAAACTACATTATTCTTTCAGCGGCTATGAAAATAGCAGAGGATATTAGCATATAAACACAGAAACCTTTGTGGTACTAATAAGCTTGCTTTCAAAAGTTGCACTGGAAAACCCTGAAAAAATTAATTAATGCGACACTAATACCCAGCTAAACTTCAGTCCAAAGGCTGTGCTGTATAAACACTAGGAAATGCCTTGGCTCTATAATAAAATTTCTTTCACTTCCGACATACTGACAACACCAAGTAGCAAACCCAGCTGTTCATTTTCATGACCTAATCATATGCAGATACGTGACTTCACATCTGACCTCTGCTGCAATGAGCAACAGTGGGGGGGGGGGGGAAATTGAAAGGATAAAAATTTAAGTTTCCATTCCATTGTGACGTTATACTTTATACATATCATGGTATTTATGGGCAGATTGAACACTAGGAATAAGAAATAATAAATGACTTAAAAGGTATCTGGTTTAGTATGATACAAGATAAAGCTTTTAATAAAGTAATCAGAAAATGGTATCCGATATGACTGAAAAACTGAAAAATAATGAGTGACATTTTAAGTGTACATTAAATGTGACATACTGAGTTCATATTTGCATATGAATGCTTTGTAGATGCTGCAGGAACAGATACGTGTCAGAGACAATCTCAGCTATGGAACAAATTCTACCCTGAAGAGTCTGGAAATGCGGCAGCTTTCTGGTTTAGGAGATCTTCGGGGAAGAGTTGCAAGGTAAAATCAACACAGAAGTATATTCTGGGGACTAGCTAATGTTGTTTTAATCTTGAAATATGAATTTTAATGATAATGGTCTGAATTCAACTTTGGCAAAATTCCTGGAATAATTTTTCTTGTTTTCAAGAAAATGAATAATAATCCTTTGCATTCCAGTATTACATATTAAACTTAACAATATCGCCCTTAATTCCTGAAAACAGTTTTTAAATAAATTGCCTCAAATTCCTTAGGAATTTGGATTTGTTTCAGCTTTTTAAAGTGCTATGGTTAGACTGGTCTATGAAACAAATTAATTAGCACAATTATAAAGGCAGTATGGAATAATCTATACTTTTAAAGAACAGAATAGTTGCACATTTTTGCATATATTTCAGAAGTAAAAGATCTGTGCATTCTGTTATTGGTTAGCAATATGAAGAACTACATAGGCTACCTGACACATAAGGAACAGAGGATTCAGGTTGCTTGAAACTCCAGGTTACAACTGTGCAAGTACACAGGCTGCAACATTCATGACACATTTACAAACCCCAGTACAAACACATTTGCTTAAATGTCTGTGAAGCTGAATGCAAAAGACAGGAAATACTTACAGCTATAGAAAAAGGACCTAATCTGGCCTAAAGTAGCTTGGCTAATCACTTCAGTGGGATGACAGTTGCTCTGAATTTGGCCTGTTGTCTACATTGTACAGATAATTTCTTTTTCTTTTTCTTTTTTTTTCTTTTTCTTTTTCGTACTTCAACTGACTTAATGATAACCTTCAACAACCTACAAAAATAATCAGGGAGGGATTTTCCTTGAGCTAAAGTTTTTTCATACATTATTTGATTGTTCAAAGCGTCCACTGTAACCTTCATAGCCCATTTTCTAAAGAACACTTTAGAGAGGGTTTTTTTTTGCATACTCTTTTTTAAGTTATGCACTATCCTTCTGTAAACAGGAGTGAACTAAACAAGTTTGTCAAATCAGGAAATTGATTGAAAAATATATATAGATACGCACATACATCTATATCTATTTCACTGAGAAATCTCTGACAAATTTACATGCTTGGATCTTCTTGTTTCTTTACATAAAAAGTCCACTTTGAGATCATACTACATAGTGAGAGGGGTCCATATTTGGAGCACTCAGTTACTGACACCTTAGGAAGGCAAATATAGTGCCTTTGCTTTCAGTAACAGAACTCGAGTGAATAAATACGTGCCAGCATGAGTTTCACAATGGGGCCCTTGCCTTTCCTGAGTACTTGGTATGGGGCTCGGTGGTGGACTAGCACAGTCTGTGCCAGGTTTTCTTCCTTTATTTACTTAAGGCAACACCCTTGTACTGTGCCTGGATTGCAATTTATCTGATAATTGTATGAGGTTATACCAATCTGCCTTATGTCAGACTGTGCAAGGAATGTTGGATATTTGTGTTCATTACCATAAGAGAATCAGTTTACTGTCTTTTAACTGTTCTATTCAGCAATATGCTATGTAAAAATGTTCTGTGAATGAGGAAGAAAATAAGCTTCCCTTTATCAGAAATCAAGTTAAAGCAGTGTTCCATGGGAGAGTTATTTCCCTTTATTTACAGACATATTCTATTTTGAAAATTAGTGTTCCTGTGAGCAGTAATTATAGTAATATCTGGAGATCATGGTCAAGATGGCAGTTTGTTATGCTGTGGGCACTGTACAGATGCTCACCAGAAACTTTCCCTTGGGTAAACACTTTCTGATTACTCTAGACAATGTTCCTTCCATAAAATAAGCTGAAGTCACCTGATGTAATTTTACATCTAGTCCTGCTAGCTTTCAGATGAGTTCAAAGACTGAAACCTTAGAAACATGATCAAGTTACTGTGGGTTACCCACTCACTGCGCATCAGCTCTCAGCCACAGCCGAGGTACTATGTATGGCTCAGGATGTGGTGACAGAAGGCTAATTTAACTCCAAGAACATCATGTTTGCTCTAGACTAGAAGCGTGCAGATGAACAATCACTGTCAATCAGTTTATTTATGATGAGTGATAGTGAATCACCTAAGTCTAAGCCTTTTGGTCCTGTAATAATTTTAGTGTCAATCTCAGGATTCCGGCCAATTTCAGTTCCAGTAACTACGTGCATACTAAACATCTTATTCAGCTTCGATACTGGAGAGAGTGGTGTTTATTTCCTAACACCAACTGTTCTGTAACATGTCAATACAGCACCGAACAACTGTCTCATTTTTTGAGGGTTGCTTCTTTCAATGATGAGAACAGGGATCCCTACATGCGCATGCAGTTCTTAAGCACAGCTCCAAAACCACACTACCCACAGCTCTGAATGAGTGAGATTCGGGCAGACCTCACAGCTGACCTCACCTGTATCACAGAATCAACTAATAATGCTACCAGAAGAAGACGGAATACACGTTATAGCTCATGTCTATGGACCATTTCTCATTAAGCATATTATATTGCTGGATTTGAAAAGCGTCATTATGGTGTTCACCATGAATGATGCTGTACATTTTCCTAAGAATCAGCATTATTATTAACTTTAAGAAAAATATTACCTCTATTAAATTCAGTGACACATTCAGCAGAAAATTAGATTGATGCCAATAGATCCATTACTCCAGCCTCCTATCCCTGATGTTGGCAATTTTCTACAACACAGATTTACCCATTCTATTTCTAGTGATATTAGATCATAAATCTCCACAGTAGTGCCTTATCATCTATTTACAGAATAACTTGTGGACTATGATCATTTGTCTGGAAAGTTTAAATACAGCAGCCTGGTCAGAACCATAGCAGTAGCTTTCTCTAGAAGCTTCCTGATAGCTGAAACTTCCAGAGAAATGGCAAGTATGCGTGTTCAAACTGGGCCTACTTTGCATATATAGATGATTTTTTATATAAATTATAGATCTGATTCATTTCAGACACCCTGGACTCACTACACGTAGGCAGATTTTCCTACACTGCACAGAAAATGAGTCTGATGTATCTGGGATGCACTGCGTTTATGAACTTCATAAGTACAATAAATCTGCTGCACTCTGGCTTCTGGCTCTGTAGGAGATGCACAGGGAGGGCTGATCTGGGCTCCTGGATCCAGGCTATCCAGAATCTACTAGGTCTGCTGTTCTTGTCCAGTGGATCCCCTGGACATAGCAACTTGCTTTTCACTGCTTGTTCTTCACCTACTTGTTTTCACTGAAACACTGGTATTTTAATTGAAACATCTCCTGTTTTATTACAGCAGGAACATTAAAAATCTGTATGCACCATTATATAGCATCCTGTTGCAGAGTACTGGTGTAGTTCTCAGCTTTACCGAGTCCCTGGTGATACCCAATAGAGCAACCATTATACTTTAATTTCTTGGGGATGAAAGACAACAAAAATACTCTTCAGTGTGCCATAAAAATAACTACTGCTTTTGCGTACTATGACTTGGAAGGCAGTTTTTTGAGAACTTTCAGAAAACGTCCTCTAAAATCAAACAGTAGTAAAATGAACATTGTAGTGCATCTTTGCCCCAAATTTCAACAGCAAACGTGTGCAACTGCACATGAAAAACTGCACTGGGTTGTTTGTATGACCAGATTCAGCATTTCTCACATGAAGACAGAGAATTATTTATTGTGTATTTCTTTGTCCAAAATGGTTTTATGTACAGCTTATATTTTTAAGCTAGTATTCTTCCTAGAAATCTTAACCTATTTCTCATTTCTTTCCTTATGCTCTTAAGATGACCAAACCTCAAAAGTTGTTTTCAACTTCTGTCTTTATATCCATAGTCCACTGGCTTCATTTATATAAACAGTCTGATTAAATTACCCACAAACTTAACTCCAGTGTGCAGAAACAGTTTTATTTTTAAGAAGAACTCTGTTGTTATTTTAACATGAATCTATAAATAAGTATCAAAGCAGAACTCTCAGAGGTATGGGAAATCCAGTGGGGATTACAGTGTACCTTTTTTTCTTTTTTCTTTCTTTTTTTTTTTTTTTTAAACAGGGACAAATTCCACGATAATGTGACCTTTTGTTTAGATTGCTGATCTGATTTGGATGCAGTAGAAACCTGCATCAAAAAAGTGTTAGAAAGCCCATGGTTTTCCATATGTTCATCTCACTATTGCTTCCTGCCACCCCACCTCTGAAAGCTAATGGAAGCATGGACTGAGGTTATTTAATTGTTGTAAGTTTTTAACTCAGAATGTATACTCACATAACTAATACCAGAATCTCATTCTTTGTCTGCAGCACACTAATGTTTTCTTCCAGTCAAAACTAATCAGGTGTTTATGAGTGTGCACAATATATATATATATAGAGAGAGAGAGTAAAAAGACTTCTCTTTGACCACTTCAATATATGGAATATTGTTTTTACAAAGAACATAGCACAATAAGCATTCCACAACTACTGTCAATGGTATTTAACCTTTATTCCAACTTTGTTTAAAAGCATGCCAATTACAGTATCCTTGTAGAAAAATGAAATAATCTGATTAATATATACCAGGTTGACACTAAATTAACATAGTCAGAATTGTAATTGTTTCAGTCACCATGCAACTATGTGACCCCTTTGATCATGTAACTGAGTTCCTCAAGAGAGATGCAGGGTGATTAAACCCAAAACACTCATTTGCCTTAAAAACAATTACAGATGCCTGTTGTTTACATTTGGTAGAGTAGTTTCAAAGATGTTGTTTTTTATATTTTCTGTCATGCCTCCGAGAAACAAACTAACCATTTTTTTGAGCCCATAGGCTTTTGTTGACTAGATGCAAGATGATTTCATTCCTCTGATTCTTTCTGATCATAACAACATGGAGAGATTTGGCTTCTCTTGCCTTCCTAAATAAACTGCCTGACTGAAGACCTACAAATATGGCTCACTGCTATGTAACCTTTAGCTGGTCTTCCTACAGATATTACTAATTGGTCTTACTATGGTGAACTGCTAAAATGTAAATTAAATTTCCACAAGTTTTGCAATTTCTATGTGTTATTTTGCATGTTACTGATTATTTTCATATTGAAATTGTACCATAATACTAAGCAGATGCTCCATTTGTCATTTTAGCTGTTCCTTTCCCTTCATATTTAATGATAATGGTAGTTACTGGAACTGAGGTGATGAAAATGCATGTTGAAATGAAAGCCTTCTAACTGAAATGTGACTAAAAAGAGGTTAAAATGTGTCACTGGTTTAGGTAAAGACTTAACATGCCTTAGCTTGTTCCATTTTACTGCCTTTTTCTCCCTCAAATTGTAACTTGTTTGTTCTCCGTCAGTTTCATAGATCAAATTTGGTAACATTGCCAATTACATATTTCCCTTAGCAAAAAAATATACATGACTCATACTTCACAAAGGTCTTACTCCTGAAATTATAGTACTTATATTTTTACAGCTCAGTTAATGTCCTTATTGTACTACTGTAGATGAAATCCATCTGACCAAAGTATTTTTGAAATGTGGTAGAAAATGCACATATTCTATAGCACATTTATCCTGAAAATGTTTCAGCATCAAGAATGAAGAAAGCATCAATGTGAAGAAAGCAAACTATAATTATGTTCCAAGACCGCATTTCATAGTCTTTTGTGAGACAAAATTGCCATTGCTTTAATGACAGTTTTACCTCAATAAAGACTGTAAAATTTGCCCCACATTGTTTACTACACATTAATTGTATACTACTATTTCACAAATAAAAATAAGAATGTAAAACTCAGAGCAACACAGCTACAATAATGAAAAAATGGTCCTCAGTTATTTAGGCTTCTGATCATGTAGGCGAAATCATAAACACCTTAAAAATGTCTTTAGAAGTATGACAAAAATATGAGGTATTGAAACTCTGCATCTTTGCATTTCTAATGTGATTTCCCTGATTGGTAACAACACAGTCTACATATACTATGTCAGTGCCAAGAAGACAGGAATGTATGTATCTGACTATTTGACTTCTAGTCCTGTTTGAGAGCAGTTTGCTGAATACTGTAAGATATATCATCATTCTTACAGTCTCATAAGACACTATTTTGCTAGACAGCCAGCAATTTTACAGAATGCCCAGTCTAAAATGGACAATTTAAAAAACTGGACCTTATATTCTATTCAGCCGTTGCTTTGTTTATTCAAACAGGTGTGATGCTGGGTTAGCCAGACTGTCTGCAGAGCATAAAATTACATATGAAAGACTTCAGAGCCTAAGTAAAGACCAACACACCTCCAAGCTGATTTTAGAATCTAAAATCAAAGAGGCAGAAATACAGGTATGGTATTTAGACCAAGGCAATCCATGTATGGGTAAGAGTTACAGTCTAACTCACACGGACGCAATTACTGTTGATTATTATCCTGGGAGGTCACAAATTTACAAATGCAGAGGTGTATCTGCTCACAGTCTTCATTAGATTGAATATTGGTACCTAGCTCCATTACTGTAGTGGGATAACTGAAAAAAGATCCTGAATTTGCTGCCTTTAACATGCTGTGTAGAAGGGGCTAGGATTTAAAGGCATCTGAAAGGACTCCAGGAATTAACAAAAAGTCAGTGATTACTAGCCTGAATGGCTTTCTGAGGTTGAAATGTGAACATGACATGAATGCTCTAAAAAACTACCGCAACAATGCAAGGATCAGTGTTTCCCTGTATGTTTTGGCCTTCCCAGGATGTTTTCATACGTATTTGAACACAATTTTTGAAGGTCTGCAACAGAAAACTGGTTTTGGATTGTATGAATCCACTAATCTGTCCACCAGGTTTCTCTTGCATTGGGTGTGGGTGGGAATCGAAGTGAGCACTAAGATACAAGCAGAGACTTATGACATGAAGGAAAAGGATCCTTCATATCTCCATCTCAAGGCCTTCCCATTTTCTTGTGCAACAAAAGTATTTTACATCTTAATATTGCAGTAGGTAAATGGTTAAAATCCACTTTACCTTTCTCAGAAGACTCAGTACAGCGTATTAGCATGTTGGCATGCTCAGGACATAGCATCATGAGTCTTGTAAAACAGAACAGTGTGTTTCATGGAACTGAGATGATTGTTTTGGTGAGAGATATTTTCTGTTAGTAATGACCTATCCCCAGTTAAATTCAGCACTTTTATCACTGCAGTAGCTATTATACATGAAGTAATGAAGAATATCAGTATTGGTGGAGCTCTTTGCCATTCTTTGCTTACATGGCAACATGGAGACATATGGATCATGTAAATTCAGCTGTCTCAAGAGGTGGAGCAGGCACATGCTTCCAAGGAAAGACTGTTCAAACTATTTATGGCTGAAAAAAATCACAGTTTTCGCAGTGTCAATACTTTCATCTCACAAGATAGTCTATTTTTCATGGTAAAGTAAAATGTGCAAATTCCACAATTTTTGAAATGTCAGAAACAATGGCCCTTCTTTAAGATCTCCTCTACCGTTATGAAAACATCCCAAATGAGACTGTGATGAAATGCTGTTGAAAGATAGCAAATTCTGAATTTTGTTTCAGATTTCTCACCTCCTGAGCAGAGTAGAGCAGTCAATCATGCAGCAAGAAGCAAAGCTGAAGATTGCCTACAAAGAGAGCAACCAACAGCTCCACCTCCTGGATATGAAGTGAGTGCCGGGAAGCCTGGCCGCGGCCGCGCAGCCAGGGCCTCCCGCCCTCGGCCACGCTGGGCTCTGGCATCTCCAGGTCTGCCAAAGCATGAACCTGTTTAAATAGGCATGTGTGCCCAACAGATATTACAAAAGCATGATGGTCAAGTGGGACTCGCTTTCGACAAGAATTCTGCCCCTAATGTGGTTAGGCAATTTTGAAAAGCCCATTAAGTCCCCACTGAAGTATTCAGACAGAACTTGTATTAAAGAACAGGGGACTTCTGTAAGAGTGGCCTGGTGCCTTTTTGCAAGAACTGTACAAAACAACAAATGCTGGAGGGAGCTGTCATGAACAGGGCAAAAGGTTCAACTCAAGCGACCGGGAAGCGAGGCACAGCATTCACAAGGTGGTGTTATTGCTTTATACTGGCTTCAAATAGGAATACAGAACTCAGATACCTAAATTATTAATTATGAGCTGCTGCACTACTACTAGACATTATATAGGGATGTATACAATTCAGATATTAACTCTTCCAGGCATTTCACTCAGAGGCAGTCCTGGCTTAAGCCAACCACATCCTTACTGCTTATTGCCATCCCATCAGTTACCTCAGTGAAACTTTGCAAAACAGATGAAAGAATAGATCCAAATTTCAAATACTCACTGCAAAAAAAAAGACTGTCTAAAGAAATAGCTTCACTGGCACAATTGGTTGGTGTAAATGAGGTGAGTATAGGCAACTTAAGTGGGGCTATATGAACCAGCATTGCCACTAAAATAAATGGTTACCCAATCTTTGTTCAGATTTAAGACCTATGGACACAAAGATTATAATCTGGATGGATGACCATATTCTGTTTTCAGTGCTGCAAGTAATTTACATCTACTACGCCTTAAAATGTTGTGATGTGTTTCATATAAATAACTGCTATTTTGTTGTGCTCCTTCATCTTTATTTTCTGAAACGTTACCTTACCCAGTTTAGTACCCTTAAATTTCAAAGATTCACCTTAAAATGGTGTCAAAAATGTATTAAATTGTTTTAAATTTTTTAATGAACATGTTCATTAAAGAGTCACTGCTGAATGACCAAAAGTTCTACTCTTTTATATCTGCTAATTTCTATTATGCTCTTAGATTAAAAAATGCTATTGAGGAACTCAGCAGCCAGATTTTGTCTGCACGTAGCTGGTTGGAACAGGAACACGAAAGGATTGAGAAAGAGCTTGTGCAAAAAATTGACCAACTCTCATTGACTTTTAAGGAAAACACTGTAAGTTTCATCAAAATGTCCTAATACTTCTCAGGAAGTATTCAAAAGTATTATTAATAACTAAGATGATATAATTGCGATATCGAGTGATACTTTCAGACCTCCTCAGTATTTGTATAAATCTTTTCACTGATGTCAAGTATAACATCCCCACAGCCTGACAGCCTTCAAATAAACCTGATCACTTCTAAATAGATCAGTATTTTAGCCTACAGTAATTGTTAGTTTAAAACATTTTATAAAAAAATTATAATTCCTTACACCTTTGAATTCTACATAAAAGATTATTAATCAATATCTACTGCATATTTGGGAAAGACCACTGTAATTTCATATGTGGAGTAAATCATTAACATTCTTTTTCCTGGCTCCAGGAAATGAGTGAAAGAGCTATAGAGATGAAATTCAACCAAATGGCAGAGAAAATTGACAAAATGGAAGAAATACAGAAGATAACCATGGAAGCACATGAAGCAAAACAGACTGAAGAAAAGATAAATATTCGCATTGGCAAACTTCAAAATGAGATAAATGAAGATATAAAAGAAATGAAAGCTGAAGTTAATGCTGGTAGGACCATAGTTATCAAGTTCTTTATTCTGAATTGTAACAATGATTGGCCTATAATAATATGCAAAATGCCTTTGCTTGTATCAAAGTAGCTTAAAGACTTTTGGCCCAGATGTAATGGCTGTACCTGTGGCCTTAAAAAGGATTTTCATTAAGTGTGAAAACAGTCTGAACACAGCAACAAGAGGTGACATTTTATTATCATAATTTAGAAGTGCTCTCCCCAGAGGATACATAAGCATAGCTTGGCTGCGATGGGTGGCATTTTTGCCTTCATCACAAAATTACAGTCCTATTTTTCTTCTGAACTTTTGCTGTCTTCTTAGTGTAAAGCAGAGCGCTATGGTAGGAAGCACATTCTGATCATAATTGTGCAATACACTTGCTTTTGATTATGAACTAATTTAATTCTCACCTGCAATTAGGATTTGCAGCTATCTACGAGAGCATTGGGTCTCTACGGCAAGTTCTAGAGGCGAAAATGAAGCTGGACAGAGATGAACTACAGAAGCAGATCCACCAAATTAAGCAGGAGGTTCCAACATGGGGAGAGACTGGGCCATGACTACAAGATTTTGCCCGAGAGATTAATGTTTACCTGGCTAAACAGGCAGACTATAATCTTGTTGCAGTCTGTAATCCAAATTAAATGCATGTACCAAATGACATGCTGCTGTTGCACAGGTCTGTATGTTTACTCAAAGTGGTAAATGCAAGCTCTTCACAGATCAGCTAACAAGCTTTTAGGGTTGAGGTGCTGATTTACCACTGCACTACTCTAGTTGCTCTCAGGAGATTAAGCACCATGTAAAACTGGAGTAATATGTTGGTGAAACGGGCACCTAATTTGCTAAAGGCATTCTAGAGCTCCCCAGGTTTGCAGGCTTGATCAGGCAGGTATATGCTCATATACATATATATAAAAATACATGTAAGAACCTGCACAGCTTCTCTTTTTTTTTTTTTGAAAAAAAGGTCGATATCATTTGTTTAATATCAGTTTGGCAAGGTTTTCCACCTTGACACAAATTACTTAATTGAAGTCAATGGACATTTGTAGTGACTTTCTCTACTATTGACTTCCTGGGGAGACAGAATTAGCACTAAACAGACCAATTTTCAAAACCATCAGAAAAATCTTCAAAGTCAGAAAAAATTTCAAAACTATCAGAAAAATCTTCGTTTAGTTTTGCAAGTATCCTCTGTGTGTGTGTGTAAACTACATAGTGATATATAATGTAGTTGTAGACCAATATGATTCATGAACAATGTAAGAAACTTAATTCACGTGGTCTTAAGTATTGTGACCTTTTAAAATTAATAACCAAATGGAGCTGAGACAAGATAAAAGATGTACATAGAGTATTTTATAACTGGGCATGTGTTCCTGTGACTTGTTTCATTATATTGGTAAAAACTTCGAAAGGTTTGAAAACAAAAGAGAAGGTGATAATCTATCATAGTCTGGAGAACATAATGTAAAATAGAATGCAGTTTATGATCTGCTTACAAATTTTTACTCAAGTAAATCAACCGATTTTTCAAATTTAAGTAGACTTTAATAATTTAGTAGATTCCAGTTGCTAATTGCACTCAGAGTATTTCCAAATAATAATGGTGCTTATTTCCATTCCCAGAACATAATGAAAATCAGCACCCATATGGCACATTAATCTGGACAGGAATATAAATATATATATATATATATATATATATGTTGATTTTATACTTTCATTCATAGCTTGATATTGCTCCTCATGTTTGTAAATCATGCAGGATTAAGCACTCATGAAGAATAAATTAATTTATAATATTAACAGTAATTTAAATACAAATATACTATTAATTTACATAAGCCTTACTGTGAACGTAAATGAATGAACAGGATGTCTCTGCACTGTCTTTAATGGACCTTTCTTTTGGCCAGTATTGCAAAACCATATTCCTTTCTTGAAAATCAGTAGCAATTTCTCATCACTTCCATGAAAGAAGGTTTGGCCCACAGAGTCACCATGTTATTAAAAATTTTTTTTGCTCCAAAAACTTAAGTTCATTGATGTCAGTAGGACAGTATAGTGTGTAAAAATCAAGAAAATGCATACATCTTTACAGGATTAGCACCTAAGTATATATACACTTCCTATATAGTTGAAAGTAATTTGATGTATCAAAGATAAATTTTGCAACTCTGGCTTCCAGTGTGCTCTGATAACAAAACCGCTTCTGTTATTCCTGTTTTGTATCATCCATGTGCCATGAAATGTATTTACAGCGGCAGCTACGGGGAAAACCCATTTCACTAAAGGGAGACAATGAAATGCTTGCAGACATTTCTTAAGAATTGTCTTAAAAATTAATTTGTTCTTCATGTCTGTATTCTTATCTATTCTTAAATATTTAGCCATGTGCAGTGGAAAAGCTATCACTGGTATTTTATAAGAAAAGAACAATTGGAGTTTGGAGTAATTGGAAAACTGTACCTGAGAGAATCTGGAATGATATGAAGAACATACAAGGTATTAGAGAAACAGTTTATACAGGATTTTAATAAAATGTTTCTCTTGTAAAAATCTTGTGTGATTCATCCAGATATAAAGCAGCACATAAAACCCTATCCAATTTCACTTTTGCTGTTTTGAAAATATTTTTTCCTACATCTCAGCTAAAGCAGATAACTAAAAGCCTGAATAAAACAATACTAAAATGTGAGCTACTTGTCAAGCAGCGTCTTCAAACCCTATGAAATGCTTGCTGTGTGGAGGAAAGCACAGGTTACAGGGGCTCCCAGGCTGGGGACAGACAGGGAAATGGTGAGCTAGGCTAGATGATGCACACACAG